GTCTTTCACTCAATGATCTAAAGAACTGGTCAATTGTCAGCTAAATAAAAAGGTGTCTGTCCTGATTAACCAGTCAAAGAAAAAAAAAAGATGTAGTTATGAATCGATATTATCCATTCCAATTGAGATCTACAAGTAGCAGTCACCTATCTTTAATTTCAAATCATTGGAGGATGAATTACAAACTGCGTGACAACTTGAGTTTAAAACTTCAATCTAACATTTCAGTCAAGAACATTGATAGAATGTGGAAAATTGGTCATTTGTCCATTAGAAGTTTGTTTCTAGCCCTGTTCAGAAACATGTTTCTTGCCAGTTTGACTACAAAAAGAGCCAATCTCTCCTCGCATATTTGATTTGTCATTTGGATAGTTTTTAATGACGTTGGCTGGTAGGTTTCTTAAAACACAACTATACCAGTCCCCAAAGCCAAAAATAGCATGGACAATTGAATTCGGAAAATGACTGGAAAACCTTTCACTGCAAAATATAGCTGAAAAATTACAATTCTTGAAGACCCATACCCACCTAACGGATAAATTTCGCTTGATTAATGTATAGAATCCATAATCGGTAATTATTAATCTCATCGGACAACAAGCAGTACAAAAAAATCCTAGACTAAAGAAGGATCACCATGAACAGAAAGAAAAACATAAGAATTGAGGCAGCCTCATTAAGTTCATGGAAAAAGAAATCAAACTTGCTAGCAGCATGTGTGCAACATATATTGAAGAACCCCAAAACATTTACATCCATCAATTATTAAATAACCACCACAAAATAACAAGTACCCACCAAAAAACTTAAAACAACAAGTACAATTTGATATAATTAAGGGGGGAGAAACTTATCACAGAGATATCTCATAACTCATAAGTAATTATTTCACTACACAAAAAAGAGAGAAGAAAAGAAAGAACATGAAAATGAACAGAATATATACTATAATAGAGCACTTCAAACAGAAATCAACATATTTCTAGCTCGTTTAACTACCTGCATAAGCGCCCGACATGTAAAAGACCGTCCGTGGAGAAGCCGGAACACTTATCCAGCCTCAACACTTCCAAAACGTTCCCAGCCGAGGCAGCCAACTGCTGAAGATCCGAATCCTTGACAATCATCCTCCGGAAGTGAAGCACCTTCATACTCCTCCGAAAGGACGTGACGATTTCCTCCACCCACGGCGTGACGTACCCACCCCAGTCCTCCGGGATCAAATTGAACATGGCGGCGCGTGGTTTTCCCTTGATCTCCAGCGACTCGAGGTGAGGGAACCTCCGCGACAAGCTCCGCGGGGAGGCGGTGTAGCAGAGCGCCATGGTGACGTGCTTGCGCGTGATGGCGTCGATCTTGTACCAGCGCTTGCACACGAGCGACACCGCGCCACGGTCACGCGCGTCCTGCACGTACGGGATCACGCACTCCCACACGGTGTCGCACGCGCCGTTGTTGATGCTTCTGTTGCTCTGGAAGTCCTCCATATCAGTCGGGAAAGAGGTGGAGGATGTGGAGTAAATAGATCCTAGAGCTAGACGAAGGATAGGGGGGCGAAGGCGGACTGTGGGGGTATAGGGATAGAGGGCGAGGGCTCGTCCGCCATACGTGTTTGAGAGAGAGAGAGAGGGTTTGTGGTTTTGTGCAGTAGCACAAGGGGACTCTGATAAAATGACAATTGGGCGTAAAATGGAGCCAATAGAAAACCGACGTCACACTAGCCAAAATTCTTGGTCGTTTCTTTTTATTTTTATTTTTATTTTTATTTTTTTATTTTTATTTCCTCGAAAATGGTTAAGTCTATTTTTGGTAAAACTAGCTGATAAGCTAGCTTATCAGTAATTTTTGAGTTTATAGCTTATAACTTATGACTTATAGCTGAAAAGCTAGCTTATATGATAAAAGTATTTGGTAAAATTAGCTGATAAGCTAGCTGGCATAAAAAAAAATTCAACTAGCTTATTTGAAAAGCTACCTAAAGAAGCTTTTCAAATAAGCTCGAGCTTTTTAAAAAAGCTCGTCCTACCAAACGAGGCTTATTTGAATATAGGGAGCTTATAGGCTAACCAAATAAGCTATAAGCTAGCTTATTTGTCTACCAAACACAGCCTAAGATACAACTAGTTGTAAAAATATGGGTGAGTGTTTGTCTCATTTTTGTTACGTTTTTTCGTATCTTTTTTCTCGTTCTTTTTCTCCCATTTTGAGTCATTTGTGTGGTTTTAGAGTCGTTTTGTCGTTTACTTCGTGTTTCGTGTCTTTGTGAGTATTTCTGTGTTTTCCGTATGTTTTTCCGGTTTTTCTTTGTTTGTGGTGTGTAGGTCGGAAGCCTCGGGAGGACCGGATTTCAAGTGAAGGTTAGTCGGGCAAGCTTAATCAAATAGAGGAGTTCGTTGGAAACACACAGGAAAAAGCGGAATCGAATTCCGAGTTGAAACGAACCCAAACGGACCCGAGAAGCAAAGTGCAGCAGGCTGCCAGAGCCTTAGCGGCGCTAAGGCACCTTAGTGCCGCTAAGGAAGTCAGGCTAGCGGCGTTTTCATTCTAAAGCAGCTTCTGCGCCGAACGGCTAACATGCCTTAGCGGAGCTAAGAGACCTTAGCGGCGCTAAGGTCTGTTTTACAACAGCTGCGATTTTTGGGGATTTTGAATTGGAGGAGCTTTTAATATCGAACCGAGGGCAAATGTCCAGACGTCTCTCGACCGGGTGAAAACCCTTGGTCCCGAGAAAACTCACGAACTCCCTCTTTCTCCTTCATTTTTCTTTCTTCTTCCGCGTCGTTTTTCTTCTTCTTTTCACTTTTATTTTCCATTTTTCTTCTTCTTCTTCTTCCTTGCATTTTGGATTCAAGCTTTGTATGAAGGTTCAACACTTGGATTGAATAAATTGTAAGAATTTCTTTTCTCTTTGAATTAATTTATGAAAATGGTTGATTTAGGAGAGATGATTATGTGTGTTAAATTTGATATACGTAGCTAAATCCGATTGCTAGGGATAGGAGATGGTTGTTCTTGTTTGATTTCGTAATTGTTGGGCTTTAATTTGTTCGTTCTTGTGGGAGTTGATTTAATTGGAATTGATGTAATCTTGCTTGACTGATTGATATAATCGAAGAGTGACACTTCGGTCTTGCGATTGGAAACAATTGAATGTTAATTTGTCGAGTTAGGCTTTGTCAATTCTATATGTTTAGTTGATTAATCACCTTCTAGTTAATTAGCGACTTTTAGAACCGAAAGGGGGGAAGTTGTAGACTTAGGCTCGCATGAGGTAGATGATTTTGTAATTGAATAGTCTATTGGTTTTGGATTGAAATACATGCTTGTCGATGACTCGTCCCTTGTTACGAATAGTTATTGGGATTGGGGTAATTAGCCTGTGTCGTATGCTCAAGTTTGTTCGTCTATGTTCAATCCCTTGTTACGAAGAGTTATTGGGAGCGAACCGCTAGATGTTTAAGCGAGAGTGTCAATCTCGAACCGAACAATTGATTGCCCGGTTTTGCTAAGAACTTGAATAATTATCCCCGATTCCCTAGCTTCCCCATCTTTGTTCCATTTATATTTTTAGGTAGATTATTGTTTTATTTTATTTCTTAGTTAATAATTCATCCAATCTGCTATCTGATTAGAGTGTTTAGGATTTATTTTCTTTTTGTGTATTCGACACTAAAGCTAGATTCCGAACCGCCTTCCTCGAGAGATCGATCCGGGAAACGAATCCTTGATTCAATACTCGGTAAAACATAACAATTTGTACACAACAAATTTGGCGCCGTTGCCGGGGAAGGCAAGTAGGATATTTAGTTTTGGTATTGATCTCTTTTCCGTGTTTCTCTTTGTGTTGTGTTTTTGGGATTTTTGTTATTTCTTTTGTGCATATACGTGTGGTTGTTCTGTTTTGGTGCGCAGGTATGATGAATTTCAACCGTGTGTTCCCCTCACCGCACACCCAGTCTTGGGGTCACGAGCCGAGCTATCACGACGGGAGCTACTACCAGTCGTATCCGTACTCTTCCGAGCGGTGCTGGGATCCCTACACAGTCGAGCAAACTTGTGAGTCCCACGAGTATAATGAGAAGCTCGACCGGATTCTCGATTTTATAACATCTCAGTCAGCTCGAGAAGAAGAGGCCACATTCAACGAAAAACTCGATCTAATCCTGGATCGAGTAATGGCCCAAGCAAGTCGAAGAGAGGAGGTTGAGCTCAAATGTGCCCGGTTGAGCGAGCAGTTGGAGAATCTAGCAAGGCGCATCGACTCTATAGAGTCCATGGTTGTGGACCCACGTCCATAGGCTGTACCTTTCGATGAGCTCGAGGACGTCTCTTCGGGATTCAACGCCAAACTTGATCTCATTCTCGATCGCATGATGGCCCAAGAAAACCGGGAAGGGGAGATTGAGCTCGGGTGTGCTCGATTGAGCGCTCAAATGGAAAATTTAACAGCACATCTCGACTCTATCGAGTCAAAAGTCGATAACTCCCCTCTTATGGTTGGTGCCCAAACGTGTTTTCCGATGCACATGTGTGAGACCGAAGAGGAAGATGATGCTCTCTAGTGGGACGACGATGTTTCAGAGGAGGAGATTCATGGACTTGATCATGTCACCATTTCTCGAGTCCCTCCTCCTGCTACCGAGATGGAGCATTCACATTCGGAGCCATCACACTGTGCTACCAAGTGGGCCAGATTTAGCTCGACTTGTTCTACGGATGAGCTCGTTATCCCTGAGGTTGATGACAGAGCTCGGGTGGAAAAAGCTCTATGTCAACTACTGGGGATTGCTCGTGCCCACGTCAGGTTCCTCCAGAACACAGCCACCTGGATCCACCATGCCCGCCTTCTTGCCAAACTGCTTGGGCTACCACTTCTCGAAAATACGAAGGCGTGGCATGATCGCCATTTCTTTCTGGACCCTGGTTGAGTCGTACTCAGGTTTCGTCAAGCTAATGACGTTAAACAAACGCTTCTTGGGAGGCAACCCAAGTGATTTATCGCTTTCTTAGATATTTTTCTTTTTGCTCTTTTATTTATCTTTGAATAATAGGAGTTTTAAAGTTCTGTGTTTTTCTTGGCAGGTACGTGTTCGTGAGATCGAGCATGAGGATTGCGTTGAATGAGGAATTTCGAGGTTCTGGGCTGAGCATAGGCAAATGGCTTGCACGTGAATGCTTACTCTCTTTGATACACTTCGGTTTGCACACATTTTTTTCCCTTTTCTTTCTATCCTTTTTGAGTTGTTCTTTCTCTTGTCTTTTCTTTTGAGTCTTTTATTCTTGTGTTAGCTGCTAGTACTGGTTCATGATATGAAATTGCTAGGTCCTTTATTTGACTTCCTGTTTGGTGTTGAAGCAATGAGGACATTGCCTCATTTTAAGTGTGGGGGAGTTATTCGGATTTTTGCATACTTATATGGTGGGCCGAACTAGTTTTAGGTTTTTTGTCGTTGAGCATGTGGTATTGGTGGATTATATGATTTGTTGATGAATGTTTGATGAAATTGGGAAGTTGTGATGACGGACGTGTGGTCATTGCCTCGATATATGCTTGGTCGTTCTGAGTGACATTTATTTACCTTGTGAGCTCTTGATCCTTACTATTCTTTCTTGTGAGACATTGGTCATATTCTTGAATGATTAGGACTTGCCTTGAGTTTGTTTGAAAGGAATCGATTAGAGTTTAAAAATTGCGAATATGATTGAGGCGTTTTGTTTGATTAGCTCACTTCTGCCTTATTCTTTGGTCCTAAATTTATTCCACTAGTAGCCCGTTTGAGCTTAAAACCTTTTCTTGTCAACCTGTTGACTGATTTGTGTGATGATTGGGGGATTGGTGGCATTTCTGAATATGGTGGACATTGAGTTGCATTGTTATTTGCTTGACCAATAAAAAAAAAAAAAAAAAACGAGAGCTCACAAGGCGATTCGAATGGATTCTGCTCCTCTTACTAGTCAATTCACATTGACGGGTAATGAGCATTTGGAAACTACTGTAGGACACTTGGATGACCTCCAATGTTCACACCTGCAGAATGTCGTCCTTTTGATTCGATCTTGTTCGGAAGAAGTTACTCTCCAAAGAAGAATAAAGTAAAAAAAAAAAGAATAAAAAAATTGGTCAAGTAATGTTGCAATTCGATTAGAGCAGTTAGGTGTTGTTTGTGGTGTTGTTTGGTGGATGGTAAATGTGCTATATTGTTTATTTCGGGATGAGTAGCGGAATGCTTGAGTATATTCGAGAACCTTGATTGTCTATTTGAGCTTCTTGTCCTTATATATTCATACTTTTACCTAAGCCACATTACAACCCGTGAAGTCCTCTTGATTCGCATCTTTTGAGCTTTGATTGTTTTCTAGTAATTTAAACGATTGGCAAGCATATGTTGAAATTTGAATATTGACCAATTTGAGCGAACCTATCATATATTCATGTAAAAGAATGAGTGAGGCATACACTAATATTACTGTGTTTGAGAGTTTGTAATTTCGAGGCCAAGTTGATATTTGAGGCATATGGTCGTACGATCGTTTGAATTCAACCCGGTTGAGTTAAATATTTCTGAGGCTCTTCTTATTTGAAACCATATCCATGCTCGTGTCTTGTTTTCTTTTCTTTTGTTTTTGTTCGGGACGAACAAAGGTTTAAGTGTGGGGGAGTTGTTTGTCCCATTTTTGTTACATTTTTCGTGTCT